TGCTTCCTTCTTTACTGGAGTTACGTTTGTCAAGTTGTGGACTCCATGACATTCATTTATCTCATATGTATGTGAATTTTGCGGTGTCTAATGTTCGATACCTAGATCTTAGTAGGAACTCATTTGAAGGAGAATTTCCAACTCTCCTTGGGAACATGACTTCTTTAAGAGTCCTTGATCTTTCTTTTAATGATTAAAATTCTTCCATTCCTCTTTCTCTGGAAATCCTTAAGAGCCTTGAACATCTCAATCTTATCTCCACCTTATTAAATGGCATTTGTGGGTTATCGAGGCCCTTAGTGAATCAACGTAGCTTGAAATCATTGGACACTAATCAAAACCTATGTCATGGAGAGATGTCCAGACCTAATGGAAATTATCTTGATGCACCACATATGGTTTCGAGACATGGAGTTTAAGTGGCAATGGTATCATCACTGGTCATTTATCGGACTGACTGGGGAAATTTAAGCGTTTAAAGTACCTTGATTTTTTGATAAACTCATTTTTAATGGTCCCATTCCGTCATTCTTGGGAAAACTTAAAAATACGAAATACCTTGATCTCAATGACCTTGTTTAGTGGCACCATTCCTGCATCAGTAGGGACATTATCATCCTTGAGAGTATTCTCTCTTTTGGACAGTCAGTTAAATGGAACCATTCCGGATTCTCTTGGTCAATTATCTAACCTCAAGAACTTAGATATCTCTGACAGTTTGCTTGGAAGGTTCAGTCACCGAAAGACCATTTTGCCAACCTCTCAATGTTTGAAGAATTAAAAACATTAACTTCTTCAGATTGAAGGCTAGATCGAACTGGGATCCATTCATTGGGACTCAAATTCCTCTATAGCTTCAAACACAAAAGAAATTGGTTGAATTGGATCTTTACAATGCTAGCATTTCAGGAACCATTCCTGAATGGTTACATGACATGCCTTTCTTGAAATTGGATCTTTCTCAAAATCATATCGACGGACCCATTTCAACATTTTCTTTCACTTTAAAGCAAGTAGATCTCTCCCATAATTCAATCTCAGGATCCCTTCCACAAAATATTGGTGTTATGGTGCCTAATTTGCAAACTCTATTACTAACTAGCAACTTGATAAATAGTTTGCTACCAAATTCATTGTGGGAAATTGCAACTCTACAAGCTTTGGATCTCTCCAAAAATAGGTTCTCTGGAAATATTCCTCATTATTAGGGGGAGCTCTTGGAGCTACAAGTTATGAGATTATCATCAAACAAGCTTTTAGGGATTATTCCAAGCTCTATTGGACAATGTCGTGCACTGGAGTGGTTACATTCGAACAACAATAGTTTGTGTTAGGTTTTTATTCTTGGCAATCTCGTTTGACAAAACTTCTTTCAGTTGTAATTATATTCGATCTTTTTATTTCAGTGAGGTTTTGAGTTTTAGATGCGAATCCAACTCGAATTGTGCCTTGTAGAGAGATGATTCAGAAGTTAATTCTTTCTTGTTTGCCACTTCGCTGACTATATTGAGGATCGAGCTGCCCGGTCAGCTCGCAAGGGTCCAGGGGGTAATACCCCTTGGCAGGTCTAGGGCAGCGCCCAGGCAGGATGGAGGGGCGGCGCCCCTGAAGCTAGAAGCAAAATTGCAGTTGAAGTTGTTTGGTCGCTCGAGCGAAAGAACGTGTGCTCGAGTGAAGAATCCTTAGTCCTAGAAGTTTTCACTGATTGTAAAAATAATGAAAAGTTGCATTTCTCGCTCAAGCAAGACTTTGGTGGCTCGAGCGAAGACACTTGAAAAACACGCATTTTAGTCTCCTCGCTCGAGCGAGAATTCTTTCGCCCGAGCCAGCATCGCGGCCCTGTTTTCTATAAATATGTGTTTCAGTCCGAGTTTAGGTTAACGGCTTTCAAATCTTCTTCTTGGTTGTTAGGGTTTTCTTCTAGAGCTTCTTTGCTAGTTTCTTTGATATTTATTTGAGTTTAACTCATGGTTTGAAAAATATATATCAAATGATTGTTTGTTTCGTTCAATACAAAAGAGAGATTTGTTCTTTGGTGAATTCCGTGAAATTTGGGCCTGAAGCTTTGGTAGATTCTGGAGTGGCTCATCATCATGGATTCGACATCGACGTTGTGCATTTAACGTTGGGCAAGACAATTCCGAGGTGAAGACCATGGTGGAAGAGACATATAGGGGTTGGTTCATGTCACGTCCCAAGCTCCGTGACAACGCCGCACACTCATTTAAGTGAGCATGCAAGGCTAAGAGTCCAACACATAACTAACAATGTAAAATACTCCAGTTAAATCCTTAATTATCATAATACTAAAATCCATAAAAAAAAATTGATTATTCTTATCATATGAAATTATCCACCAAGTCCACTAATAAAATCCATTAACAAAACAAATAATCCAAGTACTTAAATCATAGTCCTACTCTCGGCACTCCCATATGTAAAAAAAAATCCCGCGCAGCGTTCAATTCGAGCGTGGATTCGCTAGGTAATTGAGAGTACACTTGTGTAATTCCTTTTGTTTTCTTTGTGGATTGTTTTGTACCTTCGGCCCTAATTTTTTTTATCACAATTGGAGGCATTCCAATGGTGGTTTTTCCACGTTAAATCATTGTGTTGATTTGTCTTTGATTGTTTGATTGAGATTACTATTTACTCATTAAAATTGATACATAATCACAAATCAATATCTATGGAATTTCTAGATTTTTCAGTTTGTAAGGAGAGTTTCCTTTGGCTTTGAGCAATTGCACAAATTTAATTGTTTTGCATCTTGGTGAGAATGGATTATTTGGAAAGACACCAAGATGGATTGAAGAAATAGATCTAGAAGTTCTGAGATTGCACAAAAAAATGTTCAGTGACAATGTTCCTTCATAGTTATGCCTACTGTATGCACTCCAAATCATGGACCTCGGAGACAATAATTTAACAGGAACCATTCCACACTTTGTTGGTAACCTCAGTGGCATGACTTTTGTTGATGAATCTGCAAGTGAATTTGTCCAAACCTATGATCCACAATGGTTCGAGGAGAACATGATGCAGATCTTGAAAGGACATGAACTTGAATTTACCACTAGTATTTGTAATCAACATGGACCTTTCAAGGAATAATCTGGTTGGAACAATACTTGAAGAGCTAACAGTTCTTTCTGGATTGCATGGACTTAATCTGTCACATAATAATCTGACAGGAAGCATCCCAATGAAAATTAGTGACTTAAAGTCATTGGAATCTCTTGATTTCTCTAGCAATCAACTTTCATGCACAATTCTACAGAGCATATCAACTTTAGCTTTTGTAAGCTACTTGAATTTGTCATGCAACAACTTATCAGGACAAATTCCAAATGGAAATCAACTTGAAACTCTTAGGTTGCATTTGGTAGAGCTTTGTAACTATGATTTGAAAGTATGAGTTGTATTTTGAATTTGTGAGGTTTGGAATTATGATTTAAGTGTGAAAAATTTGTTTGGTAAAGAGTTTTGAAAATAATTTTGAAAAGAGTTTTGAATTGAGTGGAGAATTGTTGATGTGACATTTGATATTTGATACAAAAATTTACAAATCATAACCAAACATACAACTCAAAATTATTTTAAAGCACAAAAAAAATTTAAAAAATTCAGAAAATATTTTTTTCAAATATATAAAAATTAACATATTAATTGCAAAAAAAAAAAAAAAATTACTGTTCCGGTCAACCGGCCGGACAACTGGTTAGGCCAAATTTCGAAAAAAAAAATTGAAACTCGCGCTCAGTTTGACAGAATACACAAAGCTTTCTGCAGAGTTGTAGAAAATTAATTCCCCAACTCCATCCAAACATTATACTCAAACTATCACGTAGAAATCTAATTTGAAAACGGTTCCAAACAGAGCCTAATGATCCATCTATTTACATTTGGCAACAATAGACTCTATGGAATTCCATTACCAAGAAAATGCCCTGGGGATGAACGATTTCAATGTCTTCCAACCACAGACCACGAAAAAAATTATGAAGGAGATGAATAAGAAAAGTTATGGTTTTACATTGTTATAATGAGTGACTATGCCACAGGGTTATGGGGAGTTCTTGGAGTGCTATTGTTTAAGAAGAATTGGAGACCTGCTTATTTTCGCTCGTGGATTTGATCAAAGAGAAGGTATTAGTGGTGATAGCAATCAGATTGGCTCCACTAAATAACTACATTACCTAGATTGATGGGGTATGTTCATAGCCATCTTGTGCCTTCTCCCTTCTGCTGTAGGTGCGGCTGGCTACGGGTATGCAGTATGCAATTATTTGAGTGCATTTCTTATTCTACAAATTCAAAGATTCCGTGTTGTTGGTTGTTGTTAACTGTTTTCAAGTTGGTTTTGTTGCCAGATTGACTCTTAAGTAGTTGTTCCAGCCTTCTATCAATAATGCTACGCACTCAGACCAAACATAGAAACTGTTTATCCGGACGACCGGCCAAATGGTCGACCGTCCAGAACTTGTAGACAGTGGCTATCATCTCGTCATCTGGTCGACCAACCAGTCATCCAATCGACCGTCTAGATGAACAATTTTTGTGTTTGGTCCTCTGTGTGCATAGCATTACTGCATGCAACAGCTGATTTTTGCTTTCTTTGGTTTTGCTGTTTTTGTTTCTTTTGGTGGGGTGTGTGCATGTAAAAGCTAATCCTAATCCCTCCAAATAAGAGTGTGCATCACAACCTCCTGCAGTTCTGATATCACTTGATGTGAATAAAACACAACAGCTTCTTCAACGATGCCTGCTGCTGCACCACCTGAACAAGTTACAGCAAAATAAGAAGCTAGTAAAACCTTGGAGAAGAAAGCTGTAATGAAAATCTGCTACTCTCCACAATACAGACTACTCAGGGTTTAGTTTTCTTTATTGATGATTGTTTATTGTTGCCTGGGCTTTGATTTAGATTAAATCAGGACTTGGGGAGTGTATCTGATTTAGGAAACAAAGAATATGCTTCAACTTGCTACGTTCCATGGTTAAGTTCACCATTCATAGGAAATTTATAGATCTGAATTGCCAAAAAAACACTGATACATTGTAATTTCCTTTTATTGTTATTATTTATTGACCACTAATATACATAACCTAGTAATTGAGACATAAAATAAACCTATATAGATTCATTTGTAATCATAAATAGACTGAAGAACCTATCTAGTTATGTGTAGTTTGATTCTCCCAAAATTTCTTCTCCCACAACTCTACTTGTCTTTCTGAATTTGCTTTTCTTCTTAGAAGAGAATGAAGAGCATGAGGATCATAGGGAGGCGGCATGGTGCATGGGCTTGTATCTGTAGCCGGACCCTTCACCATGGATTCCATCATAAACTTCTTCTGTAATCCTTCTGCACGACAAGCCATTATCTCCGAACAAAGTTCAATTGCTTTTCGAGGTACAGTGGGTTTGTACCTCATGAGCTTAGCATATTCATTTAAGAGATGAAACATGTAGTCATACACGTAATCCATCTTCAAATCCTCTTGAATGAAGTCACTTGCAGCCTTTCCAATAGCTTGTGCCTGGTAAATCCATAAGAATGCAAGAGAATATTTAGCCCTAAAAGAAAAGGAGGATAAAAACTTGGGAATTGCTTGATTATTTATTACAAGAAAGTCTTCATCCTTGTAGCTCAGTTTTTGTTACACAGATAACTTTTTTTGCAGACATGCCAAGAATGATTTTCAGGCAGGATTAGGCAAGATAAATTATCTCGAGATTACAATCCAGCAATAACTTATCCTGAGGAAGCTATTTTCAGAATTTTGCGACAAAAGTGTTATCTGGGATAAGTTGTCCAACCCCTTCCCCTTGGACAAAATAATCTTGCAAATGTGAGATAAAAGGTCACTCAGGTTGAGTTACCCTGAGTTAAAAACATATGAACCAAATGCAACATTATTTTGTCCCAAGATTATTTAATCCAATCGCATCCCCTTATCCGCAAATCAAACGTGAACGTATCAGTGAAGTGAGACAGCAACAAGAATATGTTGCCCGTAGAAAGCTACATTGTTTAAGAGAAGTACTAATTCTTGCTTGAGTCTAATTTTTCGATGCAGCTGTGGTGAAGTTCTAATCATTGCTTATGCAAACAAGTGTAAACAAGAGAGAATTACTTTTTGCTTGTGATTGTTGCCCCAGTCAACAGCAAACTTAATAGATCTGCACTTGTCATTATCTCTTATGGGCCAATAGTGGTGCACCGGCATCAAACCTCTTGTGAAGAAATCATAGTAATGGGGCTTTACCACAAAGGTAACAGAATTACAAGCAAGAATGTATTTTTCACTCACAGACCATGCAGATCCTTCAATATATATTTTATATCTGCAAGAATATAACAATAGCAAAGACACAATGAGACAGTAATTGAATGTCTAAGAGAAATGAGACAAATAACTTTTAAAACAATTTTTTGTAAAAACTGCCCTGCTCACAGGAACAAAGAAAAAATGGAACACCAGAATTTTAATCCCTTACCTGTGGATACATTGGCTGGCCAAGTCTGATTGCTTGTACCCTTGCTGTGATTCTTGAATCCAATTCTGCAAATGATGCCCAAATAATTTAATTGCTTACACTTTTTCTAGTTCGATTTCGCCCATAACAACAATATGCTGATTGTAGAAACATATAATCCTACGAGGTAACTATTTGGTGTACTTTCCAACACCCAGGATCTTCATAGTCAATTAATTATACTGATGGTTCCAGAAAACAAGGGTGCTATGTTAGAACCTTTTCCACATCATCGATTCAAAAGTACGGGTGAAATTGGATTGGGGTATTTTGATGGTTTTGAAACCGAACAGACGCAATTGGTTTTGAAAATCTATAAAGCAAACTGACCAAGTGAATCATATGAACCACAACAAACCAATGCTTTTTGGTTTGGTGTAGTCTGATGAGGTGAAAATGCTTAGGGCCTCAAATTCGGTCCTTGTAAATAACTAAATATACAGCCAAAGAAGAGGCACCAGAGAGGCGAGTGAGATCGTAACACCGGAGAATGAGACAAGCGCCGTCAAACTCTCTACGCGTGGAGGTAGTCTATTATATTCTTTTCTTGACTAAGGGTTGCCGAAAAGAAAGAATTTCATTTTGGACTTTTTCTATTTAAAAAAGAAAAAAAGAAAAAGAGCCAATTATCCATCCAATCTTATATTGATTCAATGCTTGAGCCACTAAGAGACTCTCGTGAGTCTTTAAATAATTTTTCCCTATCTCGCTATAATCTTTCCTTGCATCTAGGATTCAGAGATATACAATCTTTTAGACAACTCCCAGACCTGATGCTTAGAATCAAACAATATCAACAGTTCCTTTCCTCTGCTTATGTTGGGGTAATTAGGTGAGTCATATCAGCAGAACAAAATACAAGATTTCAAATCATTTGAGACTGAAAGTGACTCTTGTCCAGTCTAAACGGCGAGAGCAAGACACTAAGAGGCAAGAGCGACCATCGAGAGATAGAATCACGGGTGTGTGAGAGAGAGAGACAGCCAAACAGACTTTGATTCAAAGTCTCCGAGAGATAGGATCAGCTAATGGGAAAATTATGTAATAGTCCAAGATTACCATGTGGCATTGCCTAATGTATATGAAGCTATCCAACAGGGTCATCATCCCACAAATGTAATTTTGGTTCAAAGTGTCCAAGGTGTATAACCCTAATGTAAACATTACATAACTAGGAAAAGTAAAACAAGCTACAATTAAGATATAATTTGAAGTTCATAATATGCTGGTTGTCTTAAACTAAGAACGGAAAATATCCAAAATACACGTTAAGTTGATGCAGGAAATTATCAACCTCTAGAGCATCCACATTAGCCTCAACAAATTAATTTTTTGGCTAAATATAACTGGTAAACCATGAAAGCATTGCTCCATTAGTCTCAACAAACTAATTCTATGACTAGCTATTATTTATATTTGCTACAATAACTCCACAAATTTGTTGAGGCACTATCATGAGCTATTCTATAGGTAATCATTTTTTGATAGATTTGACCCCACCATTTAGGTTTTCTTAAGTATTGATCATTGAAAGAATTGATAATAAAATAATTTTTTTTAATAAAATAAAGTTAGAATAGAGAGTCCAATGGATGGTACATTTAAAAAGGTAGCCACATCAAATAGAAAAGTGACTTTTGGGTTATAATTTGATTCAAAATTTATTGAGTATGATGTGGATGCTAAGGCCTTCAAACGCCCTTCAGATACATATTGACCTTACCCCCATCAAAATGGTGTTCTTCATGATCACAACAGAAATCATTCCTCACCGTAGAGCAATTTGCACATACAGTAACAATTCTTTATTTATTTCAAAGAGGTGGGACGGAAGGGGAGAGGGATTGATCCAAGACTAGTTGTTAATCACCATCTGCTTCAGAGATCATTTACAACAAGGAATGATCACCTCAACTCACATTTGTACTTCCGCATAGAAATTATCCAATGCGTTAGGACCACGTATAAAATTTCTATAATATAATACTAATTATTTGTCTTGAAATAAAACAAAAGAATGGCGACCATATCACCAAGTGAGGCTGTAGCTGAAACAGTTACATTGCATGGCATTTGTCCTTCTATCGCAATGACACCCCAGCTTAAGAAGTATTGCATAGAACTACAAAATTAGAGCATTTTCAACAATAACAATGAAGCAAAGGCAATGCTAAGTCCCTGTCATTAAAGGCCGTTATTTTTTAAAAAGTAAAGGTTGTTACTTTGGTCCACTGGTCATATAATAAATACAAACAAAAAAATACGAAGAGAAATTTGAATATATACCTGGGCGTATACACGAGCACCCCAGTCATGCTTCTCAGAGACATTGCATTTGAGGAGATCCATCCTAGTTGCAGCAACTATTGGGTTGCCCTTCCAGTAAGCATAAGCCTCCCTCTCCATCCACCTCTTCCTCTTGTTTCCTCCTTTTAGATCCTCTAACAATCCCTCCCACGGCTTTATATTTATCTCTGGCCTACAAAATCAATATATAAATCAAAAAGAATAATCATTTTCAAGAAAATTGTCCTTCAACATTGGGTTACCCCGTATGTATGGGGCTCTAAGAAGGGGACATTATTTTATTACTTCCTGTGACAATTACAAAGATTGTATTATTTATAACGATTTTTCACTAATTTGATTTCACTAGCAAAATATGACTCTAATTTTTTTTTGAACTCTACTCCTCTCCAATTCAAATATTGACTAGACTATATACTCCAACAATATGTCAAGCTCATGTGGCATATTTTGATGATAAATTCCTTTCATCTTCTAGGCCCAAAATGTAACTTATCCATATCAAAATCATAGTCATCTAATTAACCATAAAAGAAATAAACAAGCACAGTTTGAGAAATATACCACAAAATAAAAGTGATGAAATTATGTGGTTATAATCTAAGAAGCATACACTTCTAAGAAGGTGGCATGTCCATGGCGAACACTTCCTAACACATGTCTAACACTCATCAAAACGTGTCCTATTTCTTAAACCTAGACACTCGGAGGACACACGTGTACATCTCTTAAACACACGTGCCAGTCGATTAGACACATATAAAACTAATTATAAGTTTAAACAAAATATCTTTGGACACTCGTAATTGCAAATTTTTTTTAATTTTTTTTTTATTATTATTTTTTTATAACAGTTCAATTATACATTCATATATATAACACATAATAAATATATAAAATCATATATTTGTGCGAGTCCCCCACGTGTTGTGTCCTACATTTTTCTAAAATGGTCGTGTCACGTGTCCGTATCCATGCTTCTCATGTTATGATTAACATTTAATAAATATTAAAACTATATATTTTGGGTGTGTGTCCCACATGTGTCGTCTCCTGCATTTGTTAAAAATTGTTATGTCTGTGTGACTGTGCGTGTCACATATTCATGCTTCTTAGGTTATGATTATTAGATTAGTTTGAATTTTTCATGGATTGGTCTGATGTTTCATGAATGATCTATACAGGGCCTACAAAGCTTAACAAAATTGCTCATTTAAATAGGTCACGTCACGCCACGCCAACATAGAGCCAAATTGGAGGACGAGAAGCCCAATCCTTTTTTTATGATATAATTTTGTTTTTTTCAAATACATGGATTCAATTAAGTGATGGCATAAAACTAAAAACAAAAACAAAAACTAATAACATATAAAAACTTCTATTTATAATAGATTCATGAGATTCAATTAAGTGATGACATGACAAATAAAAATAAAAATAAATAAACTAATAAGATATAGCAAGTTTTATTTATAATAGATTCATGAGACCTACAAATGCACAAATAAATGACAATGAGTCATCAAATTGTAAAATTTAATAAACTTCCCTTACCGTGAACGTATCAGTGAAGTGAGACAGCAACAAGAATATGTTGCCTTTAGAAAGCTACATTGTTTAAGAGAAGAAGTACTAATTCTTGCTTGAGGCTAATTCTTCGATGTAGCTGTGGTGAAGTTCTAATCATTGCTTATGCAAACAAGTGTAAACAAGAGAGAATTACTTTTTGCTTGTGATTGTTGCCCCAGTCAACAGCAAACTTAATAGATCTGCACTTGTCATTATCTCTTATGGGCCAATAGTGGTGCACCGGCATCAAACCTCTTGTGAAGAAATCATAGTAATGGGGCTTTACCACAAAGGTAACAGAATTACAAGCAAGAATGTATTTTTCACTCACAGACCATGCAGATCCTTCAATATATATTTTATATCTGCATGAATATAACAATAGCAAAGATACAAAATGAGACAGTAATTGAATGTCTAAGAGAAATGAGACAAATAACTTTTAAAACAATTTTTTGTAAAAACTGCCATGCTCACAGGAACAAGAAAAAATGGAACCCCAAAATTTTAATCCCTTACCTGTGGATACATTGGCTGGCCAAGTCTGATTGCTTGTACCCTTGCTGTGATTCTTGAATCCAATTCTGCAAATGTTGCCCAAATAATTTAATTGCTTCCACTTTTTCTAGTTCGATTCGCCCATAACAACAATATGTTGATTGTAGAAACATATTATCCTATGAGGTAACTATTTGGTGTACTTTCCAACACCCAGGATCTTCATAGTCAATTAATTATACTGATGGTTCCAGAAAACAAGGATGCTATGTTAGAACCTTTTCCACATCATCCATTCAAAAGTAGGGGTGAAATTGGATTGGGGTATTTTGATGGTTTTGAAACCCAACAGACGCAATTGGTTTTGAAAATCTATAAAGCAAACTGACGAAGTGAATTATATGAACCACAACAATCCAATGCTTTTTGGTTTGGTGTAGTCTGATGAGGTGAAAATGCTTAGGGCCTCGAATTTGGTCTTTGTAAATAACTAAGTGCCATTTTGGGAACATGGTAAAAAGCCACGTTTTTGGACAAAATGTCCAAAAACGTGGCTGCCAAAAACGCCAAAAAAGCCATTTGGCAAGTGCCAAAAACGCAGCCCTAAAATTACAAATTAGGGCCTATGAAAAATAAATAAAAAAATAACTCTCTTATGTTGGGTAAGGGTATTTTGGTCATTTTAATTTGATTTGACACTATAAATAAATATTAAACTAAAAAGCAAAAAGCCAGCTTTTTACCAACTTCCCAAATCACTACCAAAAAAGCCAAAAAACTTGGTAAAAAGCCAAAAGCCAGCTTTTTACCAACTTCCCAAAACAACTATAAATATACAGCCAAAGAAGAGGCACCAGAGAGGCGAGTGAGGTCATAACACTGGAGAATGAGACAAGCGCCATCAAACTCTCTACACTTGGAGGCAGTCTGTTATATTCTTTTCTTGACTAAGGGTTTGCCGAAAAGAAAGAATTTCATTTTGCACTTTTTCTATTTAAAAATAAATAAATAAATAAAAAGAAAAAAAAAATAAAAAGAGCCAATTATCCATCCAATCTTATATTGATTCAATGCCTGTCGTGAGGCTTTAAATAAATTTTGCCCTATCTCGCTATAATCTTTCTTTGCATCTAGGATTCAGAGATATACAATCTTTTAGACAACTCCCAGACCTAATGCTTAGAATCAAACAAGTATCAACAGTTCCTTTCCTCTGCTTATGTTGGGGTAATTAGGTGAGTTATATCAGCAGAACAAAACAGAGGATTTCGAGTCATTTGAGACTGAGAGCGACTCTTGTCCAGTCTAAGCTGAGAGAGCAAGACACTAAGAGGCAAGAGCTACCATCGAGAGATAGAATCACGGGTGTTTGAGAGAGAGAGAGACAGCCAAACAGACTTTCATTCAAAGTCTCTGAGAGATAGGATCAGCTAATGGGGAAATTATGTAATAGTCCAAGATTACCTTGTGGCATTGCCTAATGTATATGAAGCTATCCAACAGGGTCATCCTCCCACAAATGTAATTTTGGTTCAAGTGTCCAAGGTGTATAACCCTAATGTAAACATTACATGACTTGGAAAAGTAAAACAAGCTACAATTAAGATATAATTTGAAGTTCATAATATGCTGGTTGTCTTAAACTAAGAACGGAAAATATCCAAAATACATTTTAAGTTGATGCAGGAAATTATCAACCTCTAGAGCATCCACATTAGCCTCAACAAATTGATTTTTTGGCTAAATATAACTAGTAAACCATGAAAGCATTGCTCCATTAGTCTCAACAAACTAATTCTATGACTAGCTATTATATATATTTGCTACAATAACTCAACAAATTTGTTGAGGCACTATCATGAGCTATTCAATAGGTAATCATTTTTTGATAGATTTGACCCCACCATTTGGTTTTCTTAAGTATTGATCATTGAAAAAATTGATAATAAAATAATTTTTTTTAATAAAATAAAGTTAGAATAGAGAGTCCAACGGATGGTACATTTAAAAAGGTGGCATCAAATAGAAAAGTGATTTTTGAGTTATAATTTGATTCAAAATTTATTGAGCTTGATGTGGATGCTAAGGCCTTTAAATGCCCTTCAGATACATATTGACCTTGCCCCCATCAAAATGGTGTTCTTCATGATCACAACAGCAATCATTCCTCACTGCAGAGCAATTTGCACATACAGTAACAATTCTTTATTTATTTCGAAGGGGTGGGACGGAAGGGGAGAGGGATTGATCCAAGACTAGTTGTTAATCACCATCTGCTTCAGAGATCATTTACAACAAGGTTAATGATCACCTCAACTCGCATTTATACTTCCACATTGAAATGATCCCATGTGTTAGGACCACGTATAAAATTTCTATAATATAATACTAATTATTTGTCTTGAAATAAAACAAAAGGATGGCGACCATGTCACCAAGTGACGCTGTAGCTGAAACAGTTACTTTGCACGGCATTTATCCTTCTATCACAATGACACCCCAGCTTAAGAAGTATTGCATAGAACTACAAAATTAGAGCATTTTCAACAATAACAATGAAGCAAAGGCAATGCTATGTCCCTGTCATTAAAGGCCGTTATTTTTCAAAAATTAAAGGTTGTTACTTTGGTCCACTGGTCATATAATAAATACAAACAAAAAAATAAGAAGAGAAATTTGAAAATATACCTGGGCATATACACGAGCACCCCAGTCATGCTTGTCAGAGACATTGCATTTGAGGAGATCCATCCTAGTTGCAGCAACTACTGGGTTGCCCTTCCAGTAGGCATAAGCCTCCCTCTCCATCCATCCCTTCCTCTTGTTTCCTCCTTTTAGGTCCTCTAACAATCCCTCCCACGGCTTTATATTTATCTCTGGCCTACAAAATCAATACATAAATCAAAAAGAATAATCATTTTCAAGAAAATTGTCCTTCAACATTGGGTTGCCCCGTATGTATGGGGCTCTAAGGGGAAATTATTTTATTACTTCATGTGATAATTACAAAGATTGTATTATTTATAACCATTTTTCACTAATATCATTTCGCTAGCAAAATATGACTCTTTTTAAACTCAACTTCTCTCCAATTCAAATATTGACTAGAATATATACTCCCACAATATGTCAAGCTCATGTGGTATATTTTGCTGAAAAATTCCTTTCATCTTCTAGGCCCAAAATGTAACTAACCCATATCAAAATCATAGTCATCTAATTAACCATAAAAGAAATAAACAAACACAGTTTGAGAAATATACCACAAAATAAAAGTGATGAAATTATGTGGTTATAATCTAAGAAGCATACACTTCTAAGAAGATGGCATGTCCATGGCGAACACTTCCTAACACGTGTCTTGACACTCATCAAAACGTGTCCTATTTTTTAAACCTGGACACTTGGAGGACACACGTGTCCATCTCTTAAACACGTGTCAGTCGATTAGACAGACATAAAACTAATTATAAGTTTAAACAAAATATCTTAGGATACAATGATGAAAGAAAAACAATGAAATTGCATTTTTTTTTTTTAATAACAATTCAATTATACATTCATATATATAACATATAATAAATATATAAAGCCATATATTTGTGAGAGTCCGTCACGTTTTGTGTCCTACATTTTTCTAAAATGATCGTGTCACGTGTCCATATCCATGTTTCTTATGTTATGATTAACATTTAATAAATATTAAAACTATATATTTTGTGTGTCCCACATGTGTCGTCTCCTGCATTTTTCAAAAATTGTTATGTCTATGTGCCTGTGCGTGTCGCATATTCATGCTTCTTAAGTTATGATTATTAGATTAGTTTGAATTTTTCATGGATTGGTCTGATGTTTCATGAATGATCTATACAGGGCCCACAAAGCTTAACAAAGTTGCACATTTAAATAGGTCATGTGACGCCAACATAGAGCCAAATTGGAGGACGAGAAGCCCAATCCTTTTTTTATGATATAATTTTGTTTTTCTCAAATACATGGATTCAATTAAGTGATGACATAAAACTAAAAACAAAAACAAAAACTAATAACATATAAAAACTTCTATTTATGGCAGATTCATGAGATTTAATTTAAGTGATTACATGAAAAATAAAAATAAAAATAAATAAACTAATAAGATATAGCAACTTTTATTTATAATAGATTCATGAGACCTACAAATGCACAAATAAATGACAATGAGTCATCAAATTGTAAAATTTAATAAACTTCCCTTACCATCCCCAGAAGGACCAGTCTGGGAAAACAATGTCCAATGTGGCATCATCCCCACAATATCGGAACAATGGCGGTGGGGACGTTGCGTTGGGCCCACGATAGTCCATTGATTTGATGACTGGCCAATCTACACAATCAAACATCAGATCCAAATCAGGGAGTTTCCCAGGGTACCTCCGTAACAACTGTAAGATCCCCCACTGCGTAAAAATGTCCCTCGTCTGAAAGGCCCTTCGATATCTCTCTATGTAAGCCCTCCCATTCACAATCACCAGTCGAAAGTTGGCTGTTCTGTTGGCCCTTTCCACCATATCCCTCGTGATCCCTGTTTCCCTCCACGGCCGTAGATCCTCGTGGATCCAACGAAAGTATTCCGGACACATGGCGGGTGAGGGGCGATCTTGATCATCCTGTAAGTGGAACCTTGTTGGGTAATAGTTTGGTGGGCAGGTTTGGGTGAGGTTACTGGATGAGCAATTTAGTGGAATTTCAATTTTCCTTTGGGGCTTTTCGGGAATTTTAGCAGGTTCGTGAGAGTACACATGGGTTGTTCTGGTTGTTAGGATTGTCTTCGGTGGGGTATTTTCAGATAAAGACTGTGACAAAAACAAAAACAACATCCAATGTTAGTAACAAAAGTTAATAATGTCCCCTTTTACAATAGGATCTCCAGAATTTTGATAAGTAATCAAACAACTTGTACAAGACAATGTAGTTTAATATCATGCTGCATTTACATTAATTAAAGGAGTCCCCTTTCTTGGCTCCAACAACTACGTTAATTTATTCTCCTTCAACTTCGATCAATTAAATCAATAAAAATAGAATTTAAAATTCAATTTATTGAAACCTACCTCTTCAAAACAGAAAAATGTGAGAATCTTAATTTCACTTTTATTGATTTGATCGATCATAATTGATCAAGATTAAATCTAAATTTTTTTACCAAACACTAATAATTTTACAAACACTTCCACATAAGCAGGCACGAGACGCTCCTCTTTGATGTTTTCAAAAAAAAGACACTTAATTACTTTGGTAATAGATTGTTATTTTTATGTAAATAAGTAAATAGGATTGTTATTTTTAAGTACCGTTTGCTTTGAAAATTTATATTTACTATTCAACATAGCACAATCTACTATCACCGATACAATAGGTTCCATATACATCACACTAAAATCTAAGGCTTTTTAGGTGTATGCAAATGGTCAAAACAAGTGACGGGAGCCTAACACTCTATTTGGATCGTGAGAGAAAAGAAAATGAATGATTGTGTTTTCTCACTATCATGTTTGGATTGGTAAGAAAGCAAAGAATGTGAAGGAGGGAAATGAGTGAGATTTCTTTTTCTTCCAATGTATTTTAAGGGGTAATCTTGACATTATAAATGTTTTATAACCAATCAACTTATTTCTCACCAAATCTCACCATTGTTTGTGAGAAATGATATATGCATAATAAGAGAGCTATCACAATTTCTCTCTCACTATTTCTCACCCAACTTATAAACCAAACATGAAAAAATAGTTCTCTTTCGCATAATTTTTTTTATCATTTCTCACCAAATCACCCCATCCAAAGGGATTGTAAATGCACCTTGAAAATATTGTTGGACACCCCATTTCTTTGGTTACCATTCCCAAATTTGAATTTTGCACCCCATTCGCATTTCCATCCACAATTAATCCCAATTCTACCTCCATCTCTAACCTTCCAAAACCCTAACCCCACACTCACCACAACCACCACCTCCAACCGTGTCCCAAACTCCTCCTAGCACCTCCTAGTCCCTTCAAAAAAAAACTCCCTTCCTACCTCAACAACCCCCTCTCTTCCCATTCGTGAACTCCCCAACCCAGATGTCCCATCCCCTCTCTCTGCTATTCTTCTCTCTTCTAGAAACCAGCAAAGAGGCTAGGGTTTGAGTAGGTAGGAAGAGAAAGATGATGGAGGAGGTGGTGATTAGGGTTTTGAATGAAGGGGTTAGGATTTCGAACGAAAGCATATATGCGGTTTCAAAAGGAAAAAGAAAGGCGCTGAGGTTTCCATCGAAAGGGAAGGGCTGGGGGGTGGCAACGGGGCGGCCTAGTGAGAGAGGGGGAAGATGAAGCTAAGGGGCTAGGATGGCTGCCAAAAGGTGGCGGTGGCAATGGCCAAAGAGATGATGGTTTTAGAATTGTCATTTTCGATAATTTGACTTAGGAGTATAATGGTATAAGAATGGGTAAATTACTCTTACCACTCTTGAGGTTTAGAACAAATACAATAAATCTCACAAGTTTTGCATAATTAACTTGGACTCCCTTGAAGATTTTAGTTTTACATAACACTTTAACTCTCTTTTCATTAGTAATCTAGTCATATAAACGGAAAAAAATTATAATATTTCCATATCTTTCAAACTGATATATATATATACATATATTATATTATTTTTCTTTGTCATGATACTGTTTGTAGTAGAAATTTTGAATTTTTTTTATCTTAATAGAAGAAAAATTGATACAACCATGTCACAGAAATGAAATTTGTTGAATTTTCCCATGTAAATAACATTGATGGCAAGTTTAATATAATATCTGGAAGGGGCTAAATAATTTGAAAATTTATTTGGTGCTACTAGGGCGCCATATGCTATGTGACGGTGTCCTTCACCAATCACAATCCATCATATTTCTTTCTATTCTCAATTACTCAACACAAAATCATAAGCCTTCCTTCCTCCACCAATCACAACACTTGACACTACCTAGCAGCAGACCAACCAATAACTTCTCAAATAACTTTGTCCTCAATTATAGGGGGCGGCCATAAATGGGGCTCACAAGCACATGTAGCATGGGGTCCGTGTGGACACGTAAGCCCAGCACTAGCAGCAGGAGGGAGGGGTGGCGTTTTTTACTTCTACTTTGATGTTCCGTGAGTAAAGGTGTGTGTAACTGACACTAGCGGCGCATGTTAGGCAAGGAAATCTAATATAGTAACGTAAAAGAAGTAATTTAGAGATAAAAATTTTACCAAATATCTGAGATCCACGACATGTGAATCATGTGAGTCCCTCTGAGACATTTGATAAAGTTTTTGAGATTTTTAATATTTTTGATGTAAAAATGTACTAGGCTACTACTAGCAGTAAATGGCGTGTCGGCCAGATGCGAAACGACGCCGCTTAATCAGGAACAGAACATCATCTCTGTCTGTCTGTCCATTGTAGAAGCTGGGAGATTCCTAGGGAAGAATCCCGAATTAAACACAAACAAAACTATAACTAACATTATTAAGAAAAATAAAAAGAAAACGAAAAGAAAAACAAATCTACAATCTACTAGTACTACACTAGTGAGTGGTTTATTAACAAGTTTAAGAGATAGAGAATCGAACATACAGTAACGGTGGTATCGAGTAGGCGAGAGGCGAGGAAGGCGCCGAAGAAGAAGAGGAGGAAGAAAATGAAGAAGAGAAGGGATCGAGAAGAGGAGGCCTTCTTAGTGATTGGCAATGGAAGACGACGCCAGATCGAGATCATCGTATCCCTGAAATGCCTGTAGACTCCGGATGCGTACCTGTTGACAACATACCTCTGAAATCCCTCAATGTTCTCTCTCATGGCTGCCGCTGCCAAACAGTGCTGCTGCTGCTGGATAAGACCTATAAATGATGTGAATGAAATCTTCAGTGGATGGATGGACTCCAGATCTGACGGTGCCAGAGCAGAGAGATGTAATAAGTCATACTAGTGTAATAATACGTTTTAAAATTTCTCTGTTTTTTTTTTTTTGTTGCGAAAGCTCGAAAAGTATAATTTCGGTGGAGAGCGAGTGGAGAAGGAAGAAAGGAAGGAGAGAGAAGTATTAATTTCGGTGGAGAGCGAGTGGAGAAGGAAGAAAGGAAGGAGAGAGAGCGAGTGATGTAATCGCTGCTCTGGAGTTGGTGACACAGGTTTTGGTTTTGGATGGAGGACCGGACTAGTTTGGTGGGTTTGAAGCTTAGCTGGCACAGAAGACGACAAACCTGAAAGGTTTCCACTTTGAATTAGGTTTTTTTGGTGAACAATGATCTAACTAAAAGCGAAAGACGTAAAGGCAGAAGTATCAAGAAAGAGAGAGATGAATTAATTTTTCGGACAAGACGAAAGACGCACCAAAACAGAAACTTATAATGCGCCCGTCTCTGTATTTAAGTAACCCTCGCCGTTCTCTTTGTGGGTATACTGACACCATTTGTCGGAAATTACAATGTCATTCCGTATTTTTTAAGCTCTCGTTTGAGAATAAATAATTTTTTAATCTTTTATAAAAAGATGTGTAAAAAGTAGAAGGAAAAGGGAATGTTTGGCTTTTTGGTATGAGTATTTAGTAACTTTTTGACTTTTTAACTAAAATGGAGGGTTTTCAAACGAGGCCTTAGTTTAAGTTTTTTAAATTAAATTTTTTAAAAATTGATTTTTTTAATTTTTGTATTTTTTTATTTTTAGTGAATATTTTTAAAATTTTAAACATTTTTTATATTTTTTTAAATGCACCTTACTTAGATGTATCTAAAAAGTAAAAAATTTACGAAAAAATATTTTTAAAAATTAATAAATACATAAAAATACAAAAAAGGTACTGAATTTTCGTTTTTTTTTTATATTTTTGGTATTTAGTGAATTTTTAAAAGATTTTTTTCAATTTTTTTTGACTTTTTAAGTATATTTATGTTCAGTATGTCTAAAAATTAAAAAAAATTGTTCAAAATATTAAAAAAATCAGTAAAAATAAAAAAACACGAAAAATAAGAAAATATAATTTTCTGAAAAATATTTTTAAAAAATAAATACTAGGCAAGGTGATTTGTTTTCTTTTCAAAATTACGATTACACCCCTTACCAGTTAACAAAAGTTAAATAGCATAGTTAAAATTACATTTACAGCCCTTACCGGTTAACGAAAGTTAAATAGCATGGTGAAACTACTACTACACGCCTTGTAAACGATTCAGTCTAAGCCGGTTTTCATTATATTTTCAGTACCTGTTTTATAATTGGCTTAAGCCTATTTTGAAAGTGGGTTAAGAGTCATTTGTCATTTTTTAACTCATTTTTTTTTTTCATAAAAAAAGTTAAAAAATAATTTTTAACCATCTTCTCAAAACACCCCTTAATATGTTCGTGGGTTCGGATCTTTGTTAGAATTGAATTAGTATGGGTCTTTCAACCGTTTATTGTGTTATTATTATTATTATTATTATTACTACATCGTGCATTATTCTATTTAAAATTGTAAGATCAGATTATATTCATTTTGTTTGGTTTGGATTTTCTAAAAACATTTTTTAAAAAATTCTATTTTTTTATTTTTCGTATATTTTTTTATTGATTTTTTTTAATATTTTAAGCATTTTTTAAATTTTTAAACACGCCTAACATAAATATACTTAAAAAATATAATTTTCATGAAAAAATTTTAAAAAAAAAATACTAAATACCAAAACTACAAAAAAAAAAAAAAAAAAAAAAAAAAAAAAAAAACTAAAAAAAAAAAAAAAAAAAAAGAAGAAGAAGAAGAAAATTCAGTATATTTTTCGTATTTTTGTGTATTTATTAATTTTTGAAATATTTTTTCACAAATATTTTACTTTTTAGATACATCTAAGTAAGGTGCATCTAAACAAGTAAAAAAAATTCTTAAAAATTTTAAAATATTTACTAAAAACAAAAAAAAAAAACTCAATTTTCAGAAAGTTAAATTCAAAAAATTAAAACCAAATACATTGATCATTATTATTTTATTTGACTTTGTGTGACCCGTTCCGTAATTTTTTGAGCTTTCATTATTTTTGACTTCCAAATATTAATCTATATATAAACTTATTTTTTGAATCTTATTTAATCCGTCCATATTTGATTAATTTGATTCATATTTAATTATATAAATGGCGAGAACACCTTGAGTCCATTAAACTATATAAATGATGAAAACCAAAGCGAGAATAAATAGCACGTGCCTCCATCAAGTAACTGGATAAGTAGGGGAGTTTTGGTGGTTATTATTTATAGTACCATTGGCATAACTCAATATGATTTTGGAGTTGAGAAATGCACTCTTCGTATAAAATATTGACACTGATTTTGAAATTTTGCAAAATTATTTCTTTTATGTCTTAAACTTGGAAATTGTAGATTTTGTTAGAACTTGGAAGATGATGAAATCTTCAAATCTATACTTATGTATCACACTCGCATCATGATCATATCTATTGTCAAGGCATATTTCATAAGTTTTAGAACTTGGAAGATGATGAAATCTTCAAATCTATACTTATGTATCACACTCGCATCATGATCACACTCGCATCATGATCAAATCATGTAATTGTCAAGAAATTGGAAGTAAGGTCATGGGTTGAATGTTGCATTTCGGAGAGCAGGTTATGGGTTTCAAATCCTTAAGTATTTCATTGTTCAAATAATGCCCCAACGCTGAGACTATAAATTATCCAACATGGTAGAGAAATGCATAAAACATCAACCAAATACTGCACAAGTCTCACAAAGTTCTCTTTCTTATTGAACTATAAATTCAGAGCTTACAAAATACATAATAGTCATCACAATTCAATAAGTTAGAGAAAACAAGGTAATTACCCATGGGCTTACAAATTTAAACATGGCCTTCATCAAAACAAAAGAGCCCATGATTTCCAAGGCAAGATAAGAATTCAACAATTTAATTACAACTTCAAAAGATCTTTAAGTTTAAAACAAAAGAGGATGGTCAGCTTTATTGCGATGGTTGCAATTCACCAAGTCCTAAAATTTTATTAACTAGAAATGAGTAATTGCCTAATAAAGAATATATTTAACCAAGTATATAAATATTTGATTTAAAGTTTGCATAGCCAATTCCCTTACCCATGAACATTTAATTACCCAACTTCATATTCTAGTGCACATTATTCAACTAAATTCCACATTTCTCGGTCCTCACACAGATGACCAATGGGCACCTCAATCTTCCACATTTATTGTCCTCATATGATCAAACACGTGGACACCTCAAACATTCTCACATTTGTCGTCCTCACACAACTGGGCAAGTGGGCACCTTAATTTCCTTACGCGGGTAAAACCATAGCGCACAAACAGCAACACTCCAAAACTCAACTTTCATCTCAACACAAGAAGTCCCAATACATTTCCAATTTACCCATTAATTTCTCTTCCATTACCAATCATGACCCATGTTATTAGAGATTCACAAGAAATTTAGGGCTTTTCCTTTTAGTCTCTTATTTTCCAAGATCATTGATGTATACATTTTTTTTCATAATTCTTAGGACAAAACTCTTTATTGCCATTAATGTCCATATATGTATATCTATATATCATCCATTCCAAAGTATTTTTAGATCGATTTTAAAATCTGCTATCCCAAACAGACAGCTCGAGCAAACTTTTAATCGCTCGAGCGAAGTGCACAAAATCAAAGGGACTGCTCGAGCCAACAATACACCGCTCGAGCGATAAACGCAAGGTCTCAAAAGTTTTGTAGAACTATAATGAAAATACTGGGAGCCTCATTTCTACGCTCGAGCGACTACCTTATTACTCGAACAGTCTCGCCTACAACAGGTAAGATACTGGGAGCTTTGCATTACCGCTCGAGCAACCGATTTACCACTTGAGTGATCACCTAGAACAGATTGTTACAACCTACCCCTTTTAAGGAATTTCATCCTCAAAATCTTGTGTATGAGTTTGAAGCAATATTCACTAGTCTTTCCCGCTTTGTACCCGAGCTTGTAGTGATGGAGAAGCGCCGATTCTTGGAATTCAAGAAGAGGTTGAAGCTAAAATTTTTGATAAAGGTGGAGGGTAACATCATTAGGGATTATGACCGGTTAATAGAGGCTGTAGCACACATGGAAATCATAGTGGAGGTAGAGGAAGCAAGACATAAGTTGAAGAGATTGGGGTATTCGAAATCTCAAGGTGATTCAGGGTCCTTTAAGAAGTCTAGGGGTTTGTCATCTTTTTAGTTACCACCATAGCAGACAAAGTCTTTGATTTTTGTGATTGATGGAAGTTCTAGGAACATGGGTCAAACCGTGGAGCATGTTATCGATATGGGCAGCTGGGTCACAAAGCTTTTGAGTGTGGATAGAAGGGTAGGCCACAATTTCAATCGGCTTGTTCTCAAAGCCAATCTCAGAATAGGAGTTAGGCACCATCTTGTTATTAGTGTAGTTAGACGGGGCATTTGAATAAGTTTTGCCCACAAAGAGTAGGGTCAACTAGGGTTATCGAGATCTCGCCATTTAGGAGGTTTCCAGACAGGTCAGGGACAAAGCAGCCTCATCAGCCGGTTCAGTTAGGCTAGGCATCTAGAGTAGTGCACGGGGCCACATCTGCACAATCTATGCAATAGGCTTACATTCTAAGAGGTGACCTAGGAGAGCAGAGGCCAAAAGGAAGGGTGTATGCCGTCATCACATTTGAACAATCTTCAGGACCATCCATTGTGAGATGTACTTATCTTGTCTTCAATAGTTGGGCTATTGATAGACATCGGGGCATCACATTCATTCATATCTTCTGCATTCGCATCGATTTTGGGGTTAGAGGTGGACCAGTTAACATCTCCGCTTATGGTAGAGTCACCAGTTGGGGGTAGAGTTGTGTTGGACAAAGTATGTCGTAATTGTGAGATAGAGGTTGTCGAGCGTTGACTTTTGTTTGATATTGTGGTGTTAGACATGTCGATTTTTGACATCATCTTAGGCATGGATTAGTTGTCTACTTATCAGGCCGCTATAGACTGTCATCATAGGAGAGTTACTGTCATGACCCGAACCCGCCCC